GGCTGCCTCTCTTCCCCGGGCCATGCTTGAAGTCAATTTGCAGATTTTCCAAAGCCCGCTTTCCAAGTTGGTTCTGCGTGACACAGAGAATTAGCCACCCAAGCTGGGAGACCGCTACTATTCGTAAGGCTTTCAGTGGCAAATCGCTCAAGGACATCAAGATGAGTGTTAAAAAAAAAAGAAATAAAGGAAGACCCCCAGTGAGGTGACTTGACTTGACAAGGTGGCTGCAACAAAAGGACAATTGTCAAGACTGACACAGGATGGGGCAGCACTTCCTTCTGTTGTACAGGCCACTGTTGAGTTAGAACTGACCGGGCGGCACCTAACAATACCACCAAGAAGGTCAGGGTAACGTTACACGATCATGAAGCTGCCCTTGGTCAGATCTTGTTGTTATTGCTCGGTGGCGGCGAGTCGGCTCCCACCCAAGCAACCCCGTGCACAACAGAACGAAACACGGCATGGTCCTGCGACAGCCTCGCAAGTGTTCCTGTGCCTGAGCCCAGCGGTGCAGCCACTGAGCCCATCCGTCTCATCAAGGGCCTTCCTCTTTGTCACCGCCTCTCGTATCGTCCCAAACACGATGGCCTTCTCCGGGGGCTGGTCCTCTCCTGGAAAGATGTCCAACTTGGTCAGACAGATTTCTCCAAACATTCAGGTGTCCAGAACCATTCAGAAATGAGGCTGCAGTGTCTCCCTATGTTCACTAGACCTGCTTTCCAGAACAAAATGCAGTAAGTTTGCCAAACACCCATCTGAGCATGGCTATGGCGTGGAATAAGGGGAGGTCCTAGAAAATGTCACGGTTCTGCCCCACCCCAAGTCTCTCCTGCAAAGTCTGCCTTGCATCTGGTCTTTCATTCTTGAACTTCAGCTCACAGTTGGACTAGGAAGGACTGTGCCTTTGACTCATGTTATCTTTCTAACAGTCATTCTTGTTCTAATTTAAAAATAAGCCAATTTCTCTCTGAATTTGTATCTTCTCTTTCCTGCCCCTCCCAGCACTGGGTCAACCAGCCCTCTTCCTCGCCCCAAGACTGGCCTCGCCCACCCTCTTGGAACAAGAACCTTGAACCACATTCCAACTCTCATCTCCTGTCCTACAGTCTGGGACACCCTGGCCTTCTTGCCCTGGAATGGGTGCCTCCTCTCCTTAAAACCTCCGCTTCCTGATAAGGCCATTCCTCGGTGTTCTTCTCCGGCCAGATCCATCCCCCCCTACACATACACTTCTAGTCCTCCCCCTCCTCTCGGCTCTGAGTGACCACCTGCTCACAGACTCATCCTGCCACCGGGTGGGTTCCGTGGCTTTTAAAACCCGAGAGCGCAGCAACCTGCAGGTCTGAGTTTGGAGTCTTCTAGAACACTGCTCTACTTGGCTCCCTCAAGAATTCGCTTTACAGCTATCTCTGGTTCCCCCGCCTTCTCCAGGCTGCTGCAGCTTCTGTCTCACCAGACCGTGCACAGAAAGAAAAGCCTGTCGGTGGTGGCATTTTGCTACTTTCCTTTCACTTGTGGTTACTTTGTTTCCTTACCCTTCTTGCTCCTTTTCTGTTGACCTCCTTTTCCTACGAGACTTCTTGTGAAATTCCAGGCTGGGACCCTCTGCGTTCTAGTGTGACCAACGGACACACGGTCAATCCGGCTGTGGACCACGGGAGAAAAGTGACAGCCCTCGGGCCCATTTCAGACTAGAAAGAAGCCACTCAGCGCACCTGCTGTTCAGAACCCTTCAAAAACATCAAATGCATACAGCCGGGCCACTTCTCCATGTGCACTGTTACCCCTTCCTCAAAACCCAGTTGTCTAGTCTTTTCTATGCTTTATGGCCTCTAGGTAAATTCCATGGCCTTTAGCTCTCCACTTTGTTCCAGGTATTTTTACAATGTAGCTGCCATTTCCAGATCATGCCTGTATCTGTGGGGAAAAGATGGGCTTTTGACTCCTGTAAAGAGTGACAGTCTCAGAAACCCACAGGGGCAGTTCCACCCTGTGCTCCAGGGGCACGATGAGTCAGCATCGAATCCATGTCAGTGAGCTTGGGTTTTTGGTTTGGCTGTGTCTGTATCCTTAAAACTTCTTGACCCATAATAAGTTTCATGAAACAGCGATAATAACACATTCAGTTAAGAGTCCTGGCAAACAGCACCCATGACAACCCCTTTCGGACCAGAGCATATACACAGGTACAGGTAAGAGCTGGAAACACCGGGAATCCAGGACAGATAAACCCCAGGACCAATCATGAGAGTAGTGATACCAGGAGAGGAAGGGTAAGGTGGGGTGAGAAAAGGAGGACCCAATCACAATGATCTACATATAACCCTCTCCCTGGGGGACGGACAACAGAAATGTGGGTGAAGGGAGACATCAGTGTAAGAAATGAAAAAAATAATAATATATAAATTATCAAGGGTTTGTGAGGGAAGAAAGGTGGAGGAGGGTGGGGGAAAAATGAGAAGTTGATACCAAGGGCTCAAGTAGAAAGAAAAATGTTTTGCAAATGATAGCTACAAATGTACAACGGTGCTTGACACAGTGAATGCACGTATGTTTTGCGATAAAAGCTGCATGAGCCCCCAATAAAATGATTAAAAAAGAAGAAAAAGAAAACCCCTTCAGGGTTACGCTCAAGTTTCTACCCAGGCTCTGGCTTCAACAGCAGGCGGCAGTGTGATCTCCGGTGGGCCTTTATCGAAAATGAAAGACTATGTTTAAGACGGGGGGATGAGATTATGACCAGTTAACCGGTCTGGGAACAAGTACAGCCAACAGACAATTTTGTCTTGGAAGGAGTAAGGTCAGAATGCTCCTTAGAAGCCTGGATGGAGAGACTTTGTCCCATGTGCTTTGGGCATGGTATCAGGAGAGCCCCTCCCTGGAGGACATCAGCAGAGGGCCAGCAAAAAGGAGGAAGGCCTTGGACAGAGGGAGTGACACAGTGGCGGCAAGAGACAGCAGTGCTGTGGCGCAGTGTTTCATTCTGTTGGACCAACCCAGTGGTACCCAACAGCGGGTCCTGCAGGGTCACTGAGTCAGAATCACTTCTGTGGGTGTGATCTGGTGATTTAGGGACTCTGGAGCTGCAAATGGCTACACTCTCACCTGCTGCCCAGAAGGTTGGCAGATAAAACCCACCCGGAGCTCCATGGGAAAAACTCCTAGGGACTTGCTGCTGCAAAGATCTGGAGTCACAAGGTCACGGGGGCTGCCAGGAGTCTGATGAGACTCAGCAGTGCCTACAGGCAAGGCTTGCGGCGAAGGGAATTCCTTTCTCCAGCTCCCTCTCTCTCAGGAGCGGAGCTGCGGTAGCGCAATGGTCCAAGCACCCTGGATCAATTCCACGCTGCCGCACGAGGTGGCTGCGAACCAGGATCAATTCACCCGCCACTTACAAGGGCAGCGGGTAACTGGGGATGTCCGTGCAAAGGACAGGCTCCTGCGTCAACAGTCCTCGGCTGTCCTGAAGGAGGATGAGTGGTGTTGCTAGACCTGCGACCCCCGGCGCAGACGGAGATTTCTCTTCCTCACAGATGCAGGATTTGACTCTGAGCACAACTAATTCTGCATGTCACGCGAGGTAAATCATCACTGCCTCCCACGTGTTCGCCCCCAACCCTGCTCGCCCCCAGTTTGGTTAGAAAATCAATCATTGTACTCTAGAGAATACTGGGAGAAAGATGGGCTCTCTACTCCTGTGAAGAGTTGTCACCTCGGAAACTCACAGGGTTAATTTCGGATCCTAACTGTCCCCCCCCCCTCCCCCTCTCTCTCTCACACACACACTTTCTCATATTACTTAGCATCATGTTTGGATGCTAAGGAGCTCAGCGACCCTATAGGGCAGGATAACACTGCCAGAGTGGGTTTCCTAGACTGTAACTTGTTGGTTTCGAATTCCGGACCTTGTGGTTAGCAGCCCAAAGCCTAACCACCAGGCCACCAAGGCTCCCTATGAAGGGTAGGAGGTGGGTAAACCCCTCCCAGGTGTGAAGGAGAGCGGGTCCACCAGGTTGATGTCATAATGGGAAAGCGCGTGCGTTCCGTGGGGAATGGCAAGGCACAGAGAAGGTTGGATGGCGCTGGGTCGGCCCCGTGGTACTCACGCAGACTTGCTGAACTTGGATCTTGTGCTAAGTGAAGTTCAGCCTACAGCCCAGGTTCCTCGTTTAAGAATTGGGGCTTTTAGGCAAACCTGGGCGGGCAACCGTGCGCGGATGAGTGTAAATAACCGAACACCCTCTCAAACTTTGTTCGCCCAGCCCCACCTCCTCCACCGCGGGGCTCTCCCCTTCGCTGGGTCGCGGCATTCACACGCTAGCTGGAGAAGCGCTTGGGTTTTCTGGGAGGGCGGACGCCGCAGCCTTCCAGAAACATCGCAGCCCTGGTTTACTCAAATTCCTAGATATGATGGAGACATTCAGAGGCGGCGAATTAGGTAAATAAAGAGGTAATTACAAAGGCCCGTTTCCTTGACAACCCCCCTCCCCCCAGCCCTCCTGCCACTGGGAAAAACCAAACCGAAAATGAGGAGGGGGTACCCACCCAGGCCGGCTGGCGCGAGCAGCCCTCAGCCCCCACCCCATCCCCCACGCCCCCGGCCTGGCGGGCGCCAAACTCCCAGTCCGCGCCGCGTCCATCCCTCGCCACCCCGGCTGCGTATTTTCGTGGTTGCCATAGAAACCCCCAGAAACGGAAGAACATGTTGCGCGACACAAAAGTGACCAGCGTGTAACAGGAACCGCCATCCAGCGCCCAGAAAAGGGGGAGCAGGAGGGATGGGGCCAGGCGCCGCCGCCGATCGCCGGCGGACAGGCGCGCTTGCCCGCCCAACACAAAGCGACCATCCCTTTGTGCCGGTAGCTCCGCCGTCTCGGCCTCTGGGGGCCGCGCCCGCGGCACCGCGGCCTCCCTCCTCCGCCCGGTCCCCGCGCCCAGGGCACCCGGCCCCGCCACGCCCCGAGCGCAGGGCCCGCCGATGGCACCGTGGCACCTACCGCGTGTCCGGCCGCCTGGACGCACGCACTCCCGGCGCGGGCTGGGCCCCAAACTGCCACTAGTTTCTGGGGCGGCGAGCTAGCCAGCGCTGGACAGAAAAGGCGAGACTCCACCCAAGGGGTGGGCCCTTCGGAGGGGAAAAAAGTGGTCCTGGCTTACGTCTCTCCCCGCCCATGTCACTTCCTTTTAAAGCAGCTCCGGGAGCGGAGAGCCAGCGGCGAAACGGGAGTCACCCGCTGCCCCTTCCAATTGGAGCGCAGAGCGCGGGACGCGCGGCGGCCGCCTCCGGGCTGGAACCTGCTAGAAACCCGCGTCCCCCGCCCCGGCTCATCCCCCGTGTCCCCGCTCCTCCCGCCGGCAGGCTGGCGGGGGAATCGCCCTCCCTCCGCCACTGAGGGGGACCGGCCGCCTCCCTGCACCCCTCCCGGGGCACAGATCCTTGGATCCCCCACCCCCCGTATGTTCCGCGCCCCAGACCCCCAAACCGCGGAACCTGAGCTGCCGAGACAGGAGCTGCCTAAGCTGGGAGGTGGCTGTGTTCCCGCCCTCCAGACCAGGCGCCCAGGTCGAGTGCCACCGTGCACACGTGGCACTCCCAGGGTCTCAGAGATGACCGGGGCGGGGGCCTACCTGCACAGGCGGCGGGCTGTGGGAACTCCAGACACGCCAGCCTGTCCACATTCCTAGAAATGTGTCTTGTCTCTGAAGTGGTGAGGCGTGTTAGCCTGGAATATTCGCTAGAGGACCGGTGTTCTCCAGACTGCCGACTTGGTACATGTATGTGCGCCTGCTCTCCAGCTGTTGATAGGCTGCAGGGAGGACGGGGGATGGGGGTGGGGGTGGAGGGCGTGAGCTGTGCTCACGCATAACCCCTACACGCTGCACAATTGCCAAGGGCTCCCCAGGGGCGGGCACCGCGTGCCCTGAAGACAGGGAGCTCTTTGGGTTGGGCTGGAGGAAACGCACTCAATTCACTGCCATGGAGTCCACGCCGACTCACAGAGACCCTATAGGGCAGGGTAGAACTGCCCCTGTGGGTTTGCAAGACTGCAGCTCCTTATGGGAGTAGAAAAACCTCTCTTACATCCGCAGAGCGCCTGGTGGTTTCGAACTAAGCACCTCGTGGTTAGCAGCCCAGGGCGGACTGCTCTGCCTAAAAAGAAAAGACATTGAGAAT